AAAGTCATAAGTGAGAATTAAATAAATTTAAATAATCAAGAAAGAACGAAATCAATTAAAATAATTAAAGGGAACAATAATTCAAGTGGAATAAACAAACCCATGATTTGAGATGCTTAAATCCATTCTCAAAATTGACAACAACATCATTGTTGTGATGCTTTAATTTTGTGGGTTCTTGGTGAATTGACAAGAGATCTTTTCACTATCACTGCAACATTGATTCAAAGAGAACAACACCTTACCCAGGGTTAGCACATGAATGTGATCCACTGTTTTCTTTTTGCTTCAAGAATTAATTTATGTCTTGATTTGCTACAGATCCTTTCAATGATATATATGAGGCGTTGCTATCAATCCATAAGAGCAATGGTGATAATGCTAATCCTAATTTGGTGGATTGTAGTTTAGCCATCAAAATTGCAATGCTTATTTGTCATTCTTGATAGAGATCAACACCGTCACAATTTGTCATTTCAAGAAAATTTGCATCCTGGCCTTTGTAGTAAAAATCCTTTCCTCTTTCAATATTTTTGGTCTAGCGGCACGAATAGATATTGTTTCACATTCTCAACATTTGTTCGGAACAACTATCATCCCTAATTTGTTGTATGCAGAAAGTTGTAAATGCAATTGTTGTAGAAAAAACAATTTCAAGAACTTATCTTAAGGATAATAGTTTTCACTTTTCTGCAAGAAACGTTATCCCCAAATTATAATGCTTGCTAGTTGAACTTTAATCTCCCAAAGCCAATATACTCAAGGAAGAAAGAAAACGTAGAGGAAAACAAAATTGTATTTCTTAGTGCTATCTTATTAATTTATATACACCGATTAATGCCTTTTGCACCACTTTAGAAAAACACAACTTTTGAAGAAGAATTTATATTTTTCTTCAAGTTTAATATTTAAATTTTAAAGACAACCGTTGCAAAATGGTTTCTTGCCTCTATACAAGCCGTTTTATCTTCTCCTTTTTGTTTTTACTGTTTACCTTTTATTCCTATTTCCTCCTTTATCCCTTCCTGTTTCCTTATATATATATATTAAAATACTACAATAATACATTATATGTTATATTCTATTATTATTAGAAAATGTTGTATATATAATAATTTATACATGATATCTATGCTTGATGCGGCACCTTCTCCAGTGATTTGCATCGTAGTATATCGATCCTTTCAATACAAGGCATTGCTCCTTCTTCCACTCGAATGTACCTAAGCTTGTTAGACTTGTCAATGCCTAATATCTTCAATTTCTTGAACCCTCTGACCTTGAATGACAGTGTTTCTTCCTGGTAGACCTGGAGTAATTCAAGATGCAAAAGGTTAGGTAGATGTTGAAGAGATTCCAGTGGATCGTACGTGAGTCGACTCCATTTTAGGTATACTATGACTAGACTTTGATGGGAAGGAATCCATTTTGGTATCTTCTCCAACCATCTGGTTAGCTGTACTTAACTTTTCTGTACATAATCAATAGAATCATATAATCGATAATCAACAAATAGTTAGTTGTTGATTATAAATTTGTTGGTTATACTTTTTTTTTAGTAGTGCATGTCTCATAAATAAAAATAAAAATAAAAACAAAAAAACTAGAAAACATGGATTTGTCTTCAAAAGCATAGGCAGTGATTGCGTGAGGGCACCAAAGTATGTTACGTGCATGCAATAGAAGTATGGAAGCCCATGTAACTCTTAGGACGTTCATGGTGGGGAATTCTGCATGGGAATTAGAGAGCTTACCTAAGCATATGTAATATAGTTAGGGATGGCAACAAGGGCTCGCGGGGCTGTTAAGTCCCTCCTTGTCTTCATCTTTGTAAATGGCGAGAATGGAGATCCCCGCAGGGAATTTTGATGGGGAGCAGATTTTGCCTCCATTCTCATTCCCCGTTAATTTATATTAAAATATAA